AGGTCTCCTATCCCCCCCGCTGTTCTGGGGCCGTGTAAGAGCTCCCTACTAATGCAACACCCCACCACCCCCCCCAGAATGAAGACGAGGACTTCAGCTACGTCATCGCCTTCTTCCTGGGAACGGCGGCTTGTCTGTACCAGGTGAGTGGCGACCCAGAGTCCGCTCCGGCGTGGGGTTTTATTGTTCCCCCTGTAACGTGGGGGCCGTGTCCTCCTGCTCCTCCACCTCCTGTCTCCTGCAGTGCTACCTGTTCGCCTACTGCACGCTGTGGAGGAACGGCAAATCCTTCCTGGCCTTCGCGCTCATCTGCCTGTGTAACATGTACCTGTACGAGTTACGCAACCTCTGGCAGATCCTCTTCCATGTGACGGTGGGCGCCTTCACCACGCTGCAGATCCGCCTGCGTCAGCCGCAGGGCAAGGCCCCTGACTACAACGTCTGACCACTGGCCTGGGGGGCAGGATCGGGAGCCTTCGCGAGCACGAGGACTGCATGGTCACATGCTGGGGCGGACCCACCCCTTTACGTACTTTAATTACCCAGAAAATGATTATGCCCGTTATTTATTGCAGCGTCTCATTTGTCAGGATAGCTTATGTGGCAAATGCGGGGTGTTCATTTCACTACAGCTGTGCCATCAGCATAATTGGGGGAGATGAATACTATGCAGAGAGAGGCGGCTGTTTCCCTTCACTGGGAGCTCAGACAGCAGTGAAAACTGCGTTGTGTCGTGCGGGACAGCATAGACAGCCGGGGCGTATGCAAGCTTTCAGCTCCCCGCGGTGACTGAGGGAACCTGCCAATCATCTGTCTCCATTTGGAATCCGTGATTTTACAAAAAAAATCAAAAATAACAGCATAGAGCCACATGTAATAAATTATGGAGGACACGTTAGGTGCTTTGGGGCCGTTTTTGTCACAGCAGTGGTTGCTCTCAGCCCTGTGCTGTGCCCCTGTTTAGCGATTTGCCCTTAAGTACAAACGGTGCATTGAAAATGATCTGCACTTCCATTCAACCACACATCATGTCATTGAAATTTAGGAGGGTTATTATTATAACTGCTGGTGCAGAGCTGGATCATTGAATGAGGCTCTTGGTTTCGGGAGACCATCCGCTGTTCAGTGGGGAGGGGGGGTGGCTCCTGTTTGCTTCTCATTAGTGTGTATGTTTATATCCTGCATTTGCATTCCGGCCTGAGATGCTGCGCTGTCCTCCTCAGTCCTGCCTTTTGTAAACCTCGGCCAAGCAGCGATTTTAATTTGCATCTCATTAACCTTTGACAACGAACAAATTTCTCTGGTTAAATTCACTGAGGTTACTCCTAATTTGGTATGGCAGACATTTTGAGATGAAGCATACTGCCTCTTGTAAGGTATTGGTTGAAACACCCCCGGTGCAGCATTCAAGGAGTGGGGCAGAGGGGGCGGGGGTGCTGTGTTGCTGGGGCCCCCTGGCAGTGGGCCAGCTCCTCTGAGCCCTCCAATCCATGCCCATGGGGGCACCCTGAGGGTGAACATCAGCACACTTCTGGTGGTTTGGTCTTATCATTGTCATATATCTTTGCTACAAGATAAATTATGAATAATTGGTATTTATTCAGGTTAATTATGCTAATCTACTGTATGATTTTGTAACTGTGACATAAAAAGGCAGTGTGGAATTGAGCACCAAGGCTAAGTGTGGTGGAAATAGCCAGTTTGCCCATTTACCTGCACTGTGGCCTATAGTATTCAGATGTCAAGCATGTATGTGCATTTTTTTTTTATTTTACTAAACGCACCTCAATGCAACACAGACGGGCATGTGCTTTCCAAGAGCAATGATGGAACAAAATAAAACAATTCAGCAGCACAGATGAAGGTTTTCTAGTGTCATAATGGCTGCGTTATGCAGCATCATCTTGAGTCTTTGTTTTCTGTACTCCTCCCATAAAGGCTATAGTTGTGAACCGGCTTAGGTCTAGTCCCATTCTTGCTGACCCTGGCCCCTATTGCTGTGTCCACTGGTGTGTGTTGGCCTGCAACCCCCTGCTGATTGGCTGGAAGAGAGCAGCCCCTGGCTGATTGTCTGGAAGAGAGTGGGGGGGGTTGGGGGGTGTGGCTAAACCCAAACGCACTATCCAAAGTATCACCCAGCTCTAGAAAGAGACGGGCAACATCAGGACTAGATCAGTGGATTACTAATGGGTTAAATCCTTTGGCCCATATCCAGTAATGGGCATGACATTTCATGAGATCATATAACATCTCCTTTGCATTATAAACATTTTGTTGTGTTATGAATGTTTGAATCTTCTAATATTTCTCTGTTGTGCAGGTGCTCCTCAGGATCTGTCATTTTTTGGTGGTGCCGGGTAATTTTACTCTAAATCTGACTGCCTACTATTCAGAAAATAACAAGGATGCATGATTTTGCAACAAAGAAAAGCCTACAATATGTGTGAACTGTATTCAGAAATTTGTAAAAGATAAATCTAACCGATTCTATATGTAAGATATGCAGGAGTATGTGATGTACAGTGAGCATCAGCTTTTACTGCACAATGTTAGGATCTCACCCCACCAGTCTGATTGTTCTTTTTTTCATCTAAACATCATTGTCTTACCTTCTAAGCTACTTAAGTTGTGAGGTTCTGAGTAGGTTCTGGGTAGAGCTTTATGTAAACGAACACAGGGATGGTATCTGGGCTGCTGTAACCTAGAAGTCTCTCCACCTGGGGATTTGGGGAACTGACAGGATTCCCGGCTTTCATGTAGCATCCCTGCTTCCCATTCAGATTCCCAGTCAGTCACGAGCACTGGGAGCCTGGGAATACAGGCAGGTGGCTCTTACTGGACTCTCAGGGTCTCGCGTGCTTCAGGCGTCACCATGGGCCTTGGGGAGTTATGGCCAGAGCTCGCACATCAGGACATGGCGGGACAGCCTCACACCAGCAGGGTGGGCCCCCCCAGGGAAGATCTGGGGCACGGCTGTGGGAGGGAGCCAGATATGAATACCTGCAGTGTGTGTGTGTGTGTGTGTGTGTGTGTGTGTGTGTGCGTCTCCACTACCCTGCCATTGCTGCCTTAGCGTCGTCTTCTGGTGTAAATCCAAATCATCACTGTTTCAGTTTCCCCCCCATCTGCAGAACCAGCCTGATTTGAACCCCAATCTGGACAAAATTAATGCATTTCTAAAAGCCCCAGGGCACCTAGCAAGCATGGTCACAAGGAGCCAGAGGTGGCTTTGCTGAAAGAGCATTACTGCCCCCTACTGGGAATAAGGCCTATTGCTGAAATATCTTTCAATGACCAGCTGTGATGATGCAGCTCTTCTAAGACGGATATTATATTGTGATATTTTAAATGCTCCTTATGTCACAGAGTGGATTGCTGGCACTCTCCTATCATTAAGTCAGCAATACAACGGCACTCGATCCTCACGTTCACTCCCACAAAGATCCAAAAGCAGCGTCTCTGCCCTATATATGCCGGACTGCTCTTTGCCTTCAGCACTCAGCAGGTATGGAGATTAAAGCTGGGAAACTTAAAAAGGTTCAAGGTGTTGGCTCTTTCTCTGCTGTGATCACTGTGTCACAACATAAACGCTGCCGAGCACGATCTGTCCAGCCCATGGAAGGGAAATGTGAATAGAGTAGAAGCACATTTTATAGTCCATTTAGATATGGCTGCGTTACAGCAGAGGGGTGTCCTGCGAAGTGAGTTCACTGGTTTCTTGAGGCTTACTTCAAAGTTTTCTGTAGGATACATTGTCACAGTGATTTACGCTGCACACCTAAACTGCTCAGAGCCGGTTTAAGTGCAGGCTTTTAGATTAAAACTGGTGTAAATTCCACCTTCTCACCAAAAATGTATCCTACATAAGAGTTGCCCTTTGACTAAATAGTAGGTAGGATAGTACTGATTTTTGATCTAATACCAAAAAATATTTTTTTAATCCTGGTAACGCTGTTCTGGGCTGAGGATAATACCAGTATCCCTCCTGTCAAAAGGCAGCCCTTAGTTTGCAATGTTGAAACCACCTCCTTTACGCAAACGCGTGCAACCCCCTGAATCAATTTACTGAATTGATAACCACCGATATAGTGCTGTTTGACACTGATTGTGGCTCTAGCGAGTTAACTCTGGGTATGTAAAACTCACTTTATAACACATCCCACTGGTGACTTGCTAAAAACATGATTATATACAGTCACTCTATCATTTAAACCACATTCAGTGCAAACTAAGCTGACCAAAAACAAGTCAGTCAACACTGTTTTGGCTGAGATGGATCAACTGGAAGTAGCTTTCCTCACCCTGGGATGACAAGATATCCTACCTGTCAGTGACAGATAAGGCTGCAAGCCAAATGGATTAAGGTCTCTGGAAATCACAACTGGAAGAAGAATGTCGCCCTGGGATCAATGAAGTATCGTCTTAAAAACCTCAAACATATTTAACCCAACAGTGTCAGTATCCCAGAGTACCAACATGTCAAGGCTGACGCTGGAGGATTTGAGAGACACAGGAACCGACAGAAGCCGTCAATGGTGTTTCAGAGCCCCGACTGAGCAGAGGCGCAGCCTCCAGGTCGCTGATGTCAGACTCGCAACATCTGCAATACGGTGCAGTCCAGCATTTACATGATTCGCAGGGAAGGTTTCACCAATACGCTCCAGAAAGGTAGTAATGCATGGAGGAGATTCCAGAAATGTTTGTAGTCAGTTTATGAAACTAGAGTATATGCATTGTCCATAATGATTTACTATAAATATATATTATATGCTCATTAGAATGAGCATGAAAATTATACTGAGCATGGGAGGTAGTATGTGACCCAACAGGGTTAGGCGGTTTGAATCTCAGGGTCGGCAGAGGGATGTCACCATTGGGCCCCTGACTGAGGCCCTTAACCCCAACCTCAGGGACTGTCTGACCCAGCTTTCTCAATAATGTCACTTTGGATAGAAGTATCTGCCGATAAAATGTAAATGCAAGTAGTTCTGAAGACTTTCTGAATGTATAACAAGTTTATTGGGGTGTAAAAAATAATAAAACAAAAATTTTAAAATCAGCATAGTTTTGACATGTTAGATATGCAGTGCTAACAAAACAAGAGTCACGGATGGTTTCTGCGGCTGCCGTTCACGGACTCTCCTGCACCCCCATGAGTTCTCTAAGCTTCACCAGTGCAGCGAGCCACCTATCAGAAAGCAAGCTCGCCTAGTGCCAGTAGTGTGGCTCCCCCTGGCTGCTTAATGTAAGAGAAGCTGCTGGTACTGATGCGGGGCAGTGGCCTTGGGCTGGAGGGCTCGTTTCCATGGATACACAAGTGTGACAAAACTGATTCGGAGAAACAAAAATATACATTAATCATGAGTACACCAAACTGGCGTCCAGAAAGTACAGCGGGGTCACGGCAGGGGGGCAATGACACCGTGTCTGCATGGGAAATACTGAAACCACACAGATTTATCTTCAGCTGATAAGCAAACAGCAGCGAACTGATTAACCAGCCAGCGTCAGAGCAATCCTTCATCTTGGTGAACAGCAATCCCCCCGACCACACACAGGTGACTGTTAATAAACAAATGACATTAATTAATAAGTCGAAGCTTTAGATCATTGATGTTTTCGGGAGGGAACGAGCTGTACTGCATAGCTGTTTGTTAGCAGGAGTTAAAATGGCATCAAAACAAAAGGTCATTGGTAGATGTAATACTGATTATGTGTCTCATTGGGATGGGCGACCTCGACCCAAAGCAGAAATTCAAACACAGGACGAGCGAGACAAGATGTTCCCTAAAGAGGCATAAAGGTGGGGCTTCAGTCATGCTGCACACCACAGAATCATGGCAGGCTCTGGTCTGAAGAAATGGGACAGGCCAAAAGGGGATGGGAGGGGACAGGCTGGGAGGGGAGGGACCAGTGGCAGCGGGGAGCTCAAGGTCAGCCTGACCCTACAGTCCCAATGCTGGGGAAGGGGTAAGAGTAAAGGAATGAGGGGGAAATGAGGAGGGAATGGGGAGAGATTGTGGGAGGAACGAGGAAGGAATGAAGGGTGAATGAAGAGGGAATAAGCGGGAAATGAGGAGGGATCGTGGGGGGAACGAGGAGGGAATGAAGGGTGAATGAAGAGGGAATAAGCGGGAAATGAGGAGGGATTGTGGGGGGAACGAGGAGGGAATGAAGGGTGAATGAAGAGGGAATAAGCGGGAAATGAGGAGGGATTGTGGGGGGAACGAGGAGGGAATGAGGAGGGAATGAAGGGTGAATGAGGAAAGAATGAGTTGCGCTCAGGCTAGAGGTGGAGCGGTACATATATACTGACATTCGAACCCATTCCTCTGACCATAGGTACCCATTCTTACCTACATACAGTGTTTCTCTATTGTACAGCATTACTTATTACGCTACCACAAACTACAGTGCTTGCCTGATTTTATCTATTGATCAAATGACTGAACTCCAAAATAGTGGCATCACCCTGTTACATTGTAACTGAAAGGGGCCTCAGCAGTAACCCCTGCTGGACACCAGCCCCCCTACTTTCTTCAGACCAGCATTCGGCTGCCTGTTCCCCCTTTAAGGCACATGCCCCCCACCCCCGCCCTCCATGTGATGTGATCCAGCTCATCCTCCCCTCCAACCCCTTTCCCACGCTGCAAAAAAATAAAAGCATGGCTGCTATATACTTCTGATGGATATACACACCAAAATACACAAATGGGCTTATATATACTCTCTCTAATATAATAATGTACAAAATATAGATTCTCAAATATATGCTAGATTTATTTTTGAGTCAAAATACAAAAAGAAGCCTTCCCCACCATCTCTGCAACTATCTTCAACTGTCTCCAGTGACTCCAGACACACGCGTTACATGACAGTTTCACACATGCGTGCGTGTGCATCCGGGTGTCGTAGTCGTGCATGATGCAGTCCTTTTATGCACTCGATCCCCAGGTTATCCACATCAGGCCTTGTTATGGAGGGTGAGCAGGGAGCTCCAGCATGAGGTGCTGTCTTTGCTCTCTGCTGCACTATTTCTGTTCATCCTCCAGGTGGCACATTTCCTGGTTTGCACATCATGCCTGAGGTGCGTCTGTCTGCCAAGTCTGTGCAATTTCTTTGGTCTCTTCAGATGCCGGGTGGCACAGGGGCCCCTCCCACCAGACCCTGCCTGGGGGGGGCTTTCATATCCTGGTCCCGGGGTGCGTCCCTGCAAGTGGGTGTGGCTTTTTGTCCTTAGGGGTGTGCCTGAGGCAGCCCCCCCGTCCCAATGCTGCAGAGACCTGCTTCCTCCCCATTCGCTGCCACCCCTGGCACCTGCCTGCTGCCTAGCCGGCCGGGGGCCTCGGTTAGGTGCCGGCAGGTCCCCCGTTGAGGAAGTAGGTCATCATTTCACCCTTGCCCTTAACCTTCACCACACCCCGGCACTCCAGCAGGTAGCTGTAGGAACTAAGCACCTGGTACAGGTCTGTGGTCACCTGGCGAGAGAAAGAAGCCATGCTGACGTCACTACCCAAACCATCCACCCATCCATCCATTCTCATCAGGGTCACAGGGGGGCCTGGAGCCAATCATGGACAGCTCAGCAGTGAATGGGATCCTAGCCCATCACAGCACTCATACAGGAGCACACACATGCTGTGGGGAATTCAGTGACCCAGATATGATAGTTCTGGTTACCTGGATTCTCTCGGGGACTCCGGTGCTGTCCATGCGGCTGGCCACGTTTACCGTGTTGCCCCAGATGTCATACTGTGGCTTCCGGGCACCGATGACCCCGGCCACCACCGGGCCGATGTTGAGACCTGAATGGAGGGGGAAGGTCAGAGAAGATGCACAGGAGGTCAACAAGGAGGGGCGGGGCAGCGGCATGACAGAGAAGTCTTACCAATCTTCATCTTGAAGTTGTTGAAGGAGTGCTCATTGATGTACTTCATTTGGTCCATGAGACGCATGGCGTAGTCGGCCAGGGCACGGATGTGTGAGCGGCCCGCCTTGTCGTAGGTGGAGGCATTCAGGCCCGATGCGGCCATATACGTGCTGCCGATAGTCTTTATCTTCTCCAGCTGCCGGAACTGGTCCTCGCTGATAATCTGGGAAAATGGAAGCAGTGGGGGACGGGACGGGTGGGTGGAGAAGGGGGATTGGGGCAAGGAGGAGGGAGAAGGCATCCAGGGAAACAAGGGTAAGGACGAGGTAGAGATAATGAAAGTAAATATTACACTATAGCTAAAAGTATTCCAAGATGGCAGGATGGGTGATCTTCATAGGTGGCGCCAAGTACACGTCACCTATGAACACCTGACTTGTGTTACAGAGAGAGGAGGAAGTGTAGCAGCTTGGATCAAAAACTGGTTAGCAGACAGGAAGCAGCGAGTAGTTATTAGAGGCACAATGTCACAGTGGGCCTGCGTTCATAGTGGGGTACTGCAGGGTTCAATTTTAGGACCACTATTGTTCCTAATTTACATGAATGATATAGCAGCACAGAGGCTACAATGGGATCTTGATTTAATTAGCGACTGGGCTGATACATGGCAGATGAAATTTAAATAAATGTAAGGTAATCCATGCAGGGAGCTGAAATATAAAGTACAGATATTTTATGGGTTCCACTGAAATAAAGGAAGCTGATTATGAGAAAGACCTCGCTGTGTATGTTGATGCTTCCATGTCCCTCTCTTGCCGGTGTGGGGAAGCAATAAAAAGGCCAATAGGTTGTTGGGTTACATCTCTAGGTGTGTGGAGTTTAAGTCAAGGGAGGTGATGCTACAATTATATAATTCCTTGGTAAGACCCCACCTAGAATATTGTGTTCAGGTTTGGTCACCACACCTTAAAAAGGACATTGCTGCCCTGGAAAAGGTTCAACGTAGGGCTACAAGAATGATTCCTGATCTTAGAGGAATGTCTTATGAGGAGAGGTTAGCTGAGCTGAATTTGTTTAGCCTTGAGCAAAGGAGATTAAGGGGGGACATGATCCAGGTATATAAGACTCTAACAGATCTGCATGCTGTTCAGCCAAATGGCTACTTCAATATTAGTTTAAATACTAGAACTCGTGGCCATAAGTGGAAATTAGCAGGAGAACATTTTAAAATGAATTTGAGAAAGCAGTTCTTTACACAGCATGTAGTTAGAGTATGGAATAGTCTTCATGTTAGTGTAGCGCAAGCTAAAACCCTGGGTTCCTTTAAATCGGAGCTAAATAAGATTTTAACAACTCTGACCTATTAGTTACGTTCTCCCCAAACAAGTTTGATGGGCCAAATGGCCTCCTCCCGTTTGTAAATTTCTTATGTTCACTGTGTGTCACAGGGAATGATTGTTATAGCTTTTATATATTCAGAGCTGATGTTTTCGGCCAAAACAAGCAAAGGGACATGTCCATCAGTTATACTGCAGCTGTTCTTCTGATTTCATAAGCCTTTTATGTTTAGTTTGAGCCCTGAAACATGCACAGGAGCAGGCAATCACGGAAGCGTGGAGGACGAGGCCCACCCAGCGCACACGCACCTCGTCGAAGTCGGCGATGATCTCGTTGAGGAGCCGCAAACACTCCACGCCCTCGTTGTTGGCCTCCAGCTCCACGTAGAACTCAGAGAAGTTGCTGATGGAGGCGAACATGACGGCCACGCACTCGCACGACTGGTAGTAGAGCTCGTCGTTGCGGCGCTCACGGGCCAGGAAGTGGGCGGCCACGTCCTTGGGCAGGATGTTGTGGAGGAGCCGGCGGTTATATGCCTGAAGCTCCTCCATCTCTTCCTTCTCCTCGGTGGCCTGGAAGACGCAAGTGTGGGGGGGGGGAAATGGGGGGATTGACCATCAATGGGGGTCAAGATCAGTGGCTAAACCTGACAATGATGCTGACGATAGCAGGTGCCCTCCCTCCCCATATTTGCACCTTATGCCTGAGAATCATCTACTGCAGGCACCAAAAGATGAGCCCCAGCACAGCTATGAGACCACAGCAGACACTCGGGCATCTCGTACACACAGACGCACCTGCAGCTTCCACAGGAAGTCGAGCCTGGCGGTGGACTCTACCTGCTGGGCATGCAGGTAGAGTGCCAGCACAAAGACGGTGATGACCACCGGGGTCACGATCTTCAGGGGAACCTTAGAGTACGGCGGGTTGCTGCCATGCAAGAGAAGCAGCAAGCTGTGAGCCGCGGGGATGAGGTGTGAAGAGCAACGGCGCATTGCGCGGAGCGAGAGGCGGACATCTTACCAAGTCCCATTAACACGTTCTCTGTGGAGGGAAAACAAAAGCAGGGTTAGGAGGTTTAGCCATAACCTAAAATGCCTGTCACTCTTAGCGGCAAAGTCCAGTATCTGCTCACATTTTAACTACTATTTGAAATGATTGTTTGGCATTAAGAAAAGTGTCTCATGTTTCAGGTTATCAGGGACATATCATTATGTTATGTTACTTTAGTGTGTGCAGATCCCAGAGCAGCAGGGCACAAGGGCGGCACACTCACATAGCGTTGGCCATCACCATCAGGTCCACGTTGTCGAAGAGGCTGACGGCAGGGAGCTCCAGCACCAGCACGTAAACAAGCTCGATGAAGAGCATGAGGAGCAGCTTCCCGATGCTGCTGATCTGCAGGAAGACCGAGCAGGCCAGCAGGCTAAGGAGCACACAGGAGGAGAAATACTGCCAGGGGGAGAGAGGAGGGAATTACTCAGAACAGACGATAACAGGCGCTGTGAGGTCACACTTCAAATGAGGCTGTGTAACACAGGATGATTGGGGGAAATATGAATTGTAACAGCAAAAATACCGAAGGTTATGGGAAGGGTCAGAAACGCAGGGAAACAGAGGGATCTGGGAAAAACACAAGAACATGAAAAGGCTCTTCTGGATTATTCAATGCAGGGTCAGGTCACAGGCTGGTGATGTAAAATCGCACACCTCTGGGAAGCTGCAGCTGGGTGCTGGGTCCCCACAGATGCCTTTGAGGGTGTACAGGGTGTAGTTGAGGGCGGAGTGATGCACATGGCAGGCATTCACATGGCTGCGGCTGATGTTGAACTCCTGCGCTAGGCAGCTGGGCAAATCGCTGGTGCTGCAGGTGAACTGAAGCCAGTGTAGAAACACACAGAGGGGCAACAGTCAGGGTCTGGGAAGGAGACCCCATCCGTGCCCCTTACCAGCTGACCACCATGCGCCAAGAGGACACTGTGTTTGAGAAGGCACCGTCTACATTCTTTAAGTGGGCACCATCTGTGAGCTTTGAGAGGGCACCATCTGCATGCTTTGAGAGGGCATTGTCTGCATGCTTTGAGAAGGCACCATCTGCATGCTTTGAGAGGGCACTGTCTGTCAGCTTTGAGAGGGCACCGTCTGCGTGCTTTGAGAGGGCATCGTCTGCATGCTTTGAGAAGGCACCATCTGCATGCTTTGAGAGGGCACTGTCTGTCAGCTTTGAGAGGGCACCGTCTGCGTGCTTTGAGAGAGCACTGTCTGTCAGCTTTGAGAGGGTATTGTCTATGCACTTTTTGAGGGTACTCTGTTTGAGAGAGCATCATTTATCAGTTTTGAGAGGGCCCTGTCTACATGCTTTGAGAGGGCACTATTTATGCACTTTGAGAGGGCACTGTTTGTCAGCTTTGAGAGGGCATCGTCTATGCGCTTTGTGAGGGAGCTGTCTGTGAGCTTTAAGATGGCAGCAACTGCGAGTTTTGGGAGGGCACCGTCTGTGAGCTTTGCGAGGGCACCATCTATGCACTTTGAGAGGGCACAATCTATGTGCTTTGAGAGGGCACTGTCTGTGAGCCTTGAGAAGGCACAGTCTGTGAGCTTTGGGACGGCACCATCTGTCAGCTTTGACAGGACACTGCGAGTTTTGAGAGGGCACTGTCAGCTAAGAATAAGCACCATCTGTGAGCTTTGAGAGGGCATCATCTGAGTGCTTAAGGAGGGCACCATCAGTGAGCTTGTTGTCCTCCTGTTGGGACATTGATCTTTGCCCTCTCACTGACATAAACTGGTTCTACTCCTGAATATATCTGTATATTGCTCCATTCATTTAGTGCTTAATGGCAACAAGCTTCCTAGACCTGCACTGAAAAATAATCCCATAACCCACCACGACCAACCACGCGACTGGTGGCTGGAATGTGGTTAACTGGGTGAATGGTGAAAACATCCTTTGCTTTCAGACCAAATCAAGTTTAACTTTGACAAACAAAACCAGTCTGTCACATGGTTTCTGGGAACCCGCAGATAAGCATAAACAGCAAAGGTGTGGCTGCAGAACTCACAATGTTGATGAAGGCAGAAAGAAAGACCAGGATGATGGTGAAGATCCCCACCAGGGTGCTGTTCATCCGGGACTGGACAATCTTCTTGGAGAGGTTTTGCAGAGACACTGGGAAAAACTACAAATGGAAAAGTAAAGATGATGTACACTCATCATGGATATCATGAACAGAAATAAGCCCAGTCTTATCCCTGAACATGCAATTCCAGTGAGCAGAACCTGGGCAGTTACAGGACACTCTGAGGGTCTGTGTAGGACACTGCAGGTTTAGCTGATGTCACTACTGAGCCACAGTGGATTATGGGTGGTGCACTAGGCAAAAACAGAATCCAACACACAGAAACCAGACTGGAACCCGAGGTCAACCCAGATTTATCAGGAACAAATGCTGCTAAGGGCTGATCAGTCCCCTGGGCGGGCGGGCATGATCAGCGGTGAATGGCCCCTCATGAGTTCTGCTTAGATGTATTTAAGACAGTGAGGGCTGTGTGCTGGCTGTTAGTACGGGGGTGCATAGACCAAAGCAGACTAAATACATCACAATCATAAAGCGTCTGACCATGAAGTCAACCAGGCTTTTGCTATCACTCTGGAACAACGTGACCATATATATTACCAAAGGAGCGTGTCTCTGACCTAGAAGCAGTTCAACCAGATCTGGGTCCATCTGCAGTGTATTAAGAACCATTCTGGTTAAACAACCGTGAGGTAGAACACTAGAGGAAATGCGTTGCATTCATGCAAGTATCTAGTCCATGCAGACCCAGGTGTTAAATTTTTATTTCAGTCGATCTTCAAACCACTCATCAGAGTATAAAAATACCAATCATTTTGCTTGCTAGTGTCAAATCTTTCTTGCTCTGTGAGAGTTGTGCATGCTGGGACACAGTAGGGGGCGGGCGGAAAGGAGAACTCACCCAGTAGCAGGTGTAGATGGTCGAGACAAACATGACAGCCAGCAGGAGAAAGAGACAGGCGACGTAGAAGCCGATCATCAGTGTGGAGCTGAGAAATGAGTGAAAACAAATAGGGCAATGAAAGGCGGTCTTTCATATCCTCCTGAGACCCGACCTATTCATTTATGTCCATTGTAGTGGACATTGTATTTTTGCATTTAGTTTTTCACTGATGTTAGGAAACATATTTATTCCTGTTGTGCACTAAAGAGGACATGCTGCGAAATTAAAAATAAAAATAAATTTGAAAAAATTTAATTGTAAGATGTCTTATTTCCTCCAAAGACAAATAACGTACAATTGAAGGACACTTTTTTCCTTGGGTCTTTATGACTAAAATAATCTGAAAAACTGGAGACTCTTCAATTCCCGACAAAGGGGTGGCATCCTATTAAAAGTCAAATCACCACATGGGCATTATATGGAAAACTGCAATATTACTTTACTATTGTGTATTAATATTAGGATGAACTTCTTTGATCTCAGGGGTAAATTCTGGTGCATACAGCAGTAAAAACATAGTGCACAGACATAAGTACATAGAGTTCCAAACTGACAAGGTACAAAGACACAGCACACAGAGTGCAAACAATGAAATATAGTACAAACAGTAAAAGTACACAGTACACAAAATATCCTGAAAAACATTCTGAATATCACAATACTAGACATAAATAAATATGTAATTATAAAAATAAATTCTATGCAAAGAAATGATGTGCAATTAGAATTAGGATAGAAAGCACCAGACTTTTACTGTAAGCATTGTATTGTATGCATGCATAAAGTATGTTTTATACACACACACACACGCGCACACAGACACACACGCGCGCACATGTAGGGTAAACATATCCTTATGGGGACCGCTCATTCATTTCAATGCACGCACACACACACACGGAAACATTAAATGCAAATATATTTTATTGACTGATTGATTGATTGATTGTATCTTTGTGGTCCTGGGTCACCCACACCGGTACTCACCGTGGTACCACGACAACCTGGATGAAGCAGATGAATAGGAACACGAGGGAGGCGCAGGCCACATACGCCCCGAATTTGGAGTCCACTTGCTTGGAGTACTGGGAGGGTGTGGGGTGGAGTAATTGAACCAAAACACAGAAGGTAGGGTGGAGAAAAATATGTATATCAGGTGTGAGGAGAGACATGCATACAGGGGGGCACTGGCATGTTTGGGGGGGGGGGTGCTGTACTGTATGTAAAGCCCTTATTAAACCCAAATGTGCACTTTTTCCATAATGCAAGTCAGACACCAGGACCCTGGGTACCTTCTTCTCCAGGTCGGGCTCTCGGAAGGTCAGGAGGAACTTCTTGACGTGTTCTGAGCGCAGCCGGTCGATGCTCCTGGCGTCAATGGCCCGGCCCAGGAACTCGTCTACCTCATCCTCAGGGTTCAGGTTCTCCTGGGTGTTTCTGAAAATGAAATGCCTAGATAACACAAGACAAGGTTTTTTTCCCCCTTCTTCAAACTCAGAAGCAGCCTCTGCAGCCCTCTATAGAAACTCTTGGGCGCCCCATCAAAACTATAATACAGTAGCATGCAGGCAAACTTTCGCCCCATGCAGTCGTGTGCCACAGAGTAAGACTGTTTGCTTGTGTTGTGGGTCATGCTGCCTGTGTGTACTACACGCACAGATGTGACACGGTGCTCATCTTGGTGTGGTGGGTTCTGACTGCATTGTAGGAGACCACAGACCTGCAGAAGGTCTGACAGCCTCTCATCCCACTGCAGTACCTGTCCCACATTCCAAGCCTGCCTCAGGCGAGAAACGCAAAGTACCACAACGCTATGTCTAGTCTAGTTAGTCACTGGACAAGTAAAAAGATGGAGGAGGGGGTGTCCTACTCACTTGTCCTTGGGGTCCTCAAAGCCCTGTAGTGAGAGAGAGAGGTCACACTGAGGTCGTCTTGTACGAACACTCGAGGGTTACCTACATACAGTCTCCTTTAGCCAGAGTCCTGGTAACCCTGCTTTACTGTGATTTTTGTTTCAGAACCATCCTAATAATTAGGCTTAATGGGACTACAGCTTTAAATAAGACAATCAGTACATGACACTGTAGGAAATCCATTTTATGCTAAGCACTGGATGTGGTTACTAGACACTCATATACTGCACGCGCACACACACACACACACACACACACACACACACACAGCATGAGACTGGTGGCTATATGGGTTAAACTTCAAATCACAGAAAGAAAATTTCTGAACTATTAAACTGGATTCAGTTTCATTGGTGACTATATGTATTGTAATTCTGCATGTTTAAATCCCATCAAAGACATATTTTTCCACTGAAAAATGAATTGGTGTCTCAAAATGTCTGCTTTTTCCCGATAAGTTGAAATTGCCGTGATGTGGCTGCTTGTTACAGCCGAGGTAAAGATGAAAATATCTTCCGCAGTTTAATAGTGAAATTAGAACTTTAGTAACAGTAAATTACCTCCATGAAAGATTATATGGCAGAAATAAACTATGTATCTTTTAAAATGCCTGCATTTAAGCCATTCAACTACACTTGACATCAAATGTCACAGATGAGGTCTCAATGACCAGCAACAATCAAAGGAGAAAGCTGTTAGTCTACTCTTAGCACATTTAGCTCAGATTACAATTAGCTGAAGGGTGGCACCTTAAGTTCAGGCTACAGTCAGCCAACAGGTAGCATGTTTGGTTCAGGGTACAGTTAGCTAAAGGGCAACATGGAGAGTTACCAATTCTCATATATTTTGGCACTTTCAGACTGTCACACCTCCACACCTCCTGTAAGAAATCTTACAGCAAATCTATATTATTCCATTATAAATCTATTTTTTTTTTTTTAAAGTGTTGGGGTAGTTTGCAAACCCTACAGGCTATTTACAAGGTAATAAAACTGTTACATACATGTAAATGAGTGTGGATAGTTGTATCAAATTGAAAACCTCATGCCAGTTGGCAACCCTGTGTTTGGCCCAGGTTACAGTTAGCTAAAGGGTGGCATGTTAAGTTCAAGCTATAATTAGCAAACATGTAGCATGTTTGATTCTGGCTACAGTTAGTGAACAGATAGCATGTTTGGCTCAGGCCACAGTTGGCTAACAGGTGGCACAATCGACTTGTTAGCAGTTAGCTAACAAGCAGCACGTTCGCTTCAGGCTAAAGTTAGCAAACGGGTAGCACCTTTGGCTCAGGTTACGGTTAGCTAATGGGCACCACCTTTGGCCAGATACAACACTAGCAGTCAAAGGGAAATTAATTATCAGCAAGGCCAGACTTATGCATGGGCTAACCTGGGCTGTAGTCCAGGGCCTCAAGTTGTATTTTTTTTCCTGGTCGTTACAGCAGCATTTTATGCTGTAGGTAGGGCCCCAACAATGACTTTAGACCAGGGGCCCCACCACCCAAAATTTGTCCCTGATTATTGGGCATGTTAAATATCACAGCATTAAATACAAACTAGCAAGAACGGATTGTTTTGTGGTAATAAAGCACCTCATCTGCAAGAAAACATCCAAGGGCTAACAGACACCAGCACAACCACTACACTAGTGTTACCTGGCAACCTTGAGGTCAAATAATGGCTCCCAAATTAGTCAAGCTAAACAACAAAGCTACCAGCTAACCCTGCCTGAAAGATTAAGGAGCCCTTCCTAAGGGTCCCGGTCTGCTGAGAGGGGCCCTGACTTACCAACCACAGTGAGAACAGAGGAAAGCAAACTGCCGCAAAGTACAGCTCACACTCGTCTCAATCATTTGAACGTTTCAAACCATGAATCTCATTAGCATTCTCTGAGTGAGCTTTGCCTTATGCATGAAATTCTGACAAGTAAATAGTAAAAAGGCTCGAATCCAAACACTCCATGACTCTGAGGATGCAGGCAGCCACCTGTTGCCATAAGCATTAGCCGTGGGGTTATTTAAGGCTTTAAAGGGATGTGGGAAACAGGTGATCACACAGCCGGGTCGCCTTTAAGGGCCTTGTGGGGGCGTGACAACGTCACTTATGGAGATAAACAACATGGCTGGGTGAGTCACTGAGGGATTGATTAGACATACTGAGAGACATCCTGAAATTAAGGAATTCAGTGGGCCCGTTTTGCAGTGCAGCACCCCCCAGCCACACTTTCTCTCTGGGGGGGTTGTAATGATGTTCTTTCATAACTGGGCACTCGTTCATTAAACGCCTTAGCCTTGCCCACTGTCATCGTCATCATGCTCTCCGCACACAGACAGCAGTCCGTTTACCTGCCAGAGCCAGACCATGCAGGCGGCTCCTGTGTTTGGGAATTGCACTTGGGACAGAGTATTAAAGGTCTGAGATTCTTAGACGACGTGAGTCTTACGACAGCCAGCTCTAAAAGCGAGCAGATCTGTCACTAAGCTAATCATCTTTTAACCAGAAGGGTGCAGGTTCAAATCCCAGGAATCTCAAGCTAACAGCTATGTGGTCCGTAAGGAATCATTACCTTACATTAACATTAATTTAGCAAACACTTTTGTCCGAGGCGATGTACAGCCAAGAACGCAGCATCAGAGGTTATGCTTGGGTGTGGTTATGCTTGAAGCAATTGGGGTTAAGGGCCTTGCTCAAGGGCCTAACTATGGGGTTTGATCAGGTGATTATAGGCATAGCATCCAAACCCACTGAGCCACACCACCCCCAACAGCAACTCGAGCACGAACGTGAAGCAGTGAGTAACACAGGAAGTCCTGTGGTCTGATTAAGTAACTCATAAAAAACCCATACTGAGTATTTGGAGCTCTTAGGATAAATCCGTGTCTTTGCCCTGGGAATGAATCAGAGCCCCCGTCACTCTCTCTTTGGAACACCAGACCCTGGGAAGAATACAGGATGGAGAAGCTAAGCATCTTCAATCGACCACCACATGGGGGTGCTGCCTTCCTGACGGTAACAGAGTTTGCTTTTCAGAATGTCAATGTGCCTCCCAATTGGGGTTCCAGTCTGTGATGTCAGCCATTGCTCTTCATCCAATGCAACAGATTTTTAATTCAAGTCGTCCCTTGACTATTTAAAAGGCTAAGGCAGAGGGAATTCGCCACAGACAACGTAAAAAGAAACTCCTTTCTGTGCCTTCTCATGCGAAGCCGCTCTAGTTATGTCACTGTTAGTTCATTGTTACACCAACAAAAACAGTAGAAGCAGCTAACAAAAGAATTTGATGAAAAATAAGGAAACTGAGGGGGGGCGCTATTGAGCAGAAGGAGAGTGGGTATGTGGCTTCCTTACCATCCTCTTCATCTCCTTGGAGACCTGGTTGCCGGCCAGGTGGTTGTAGAATGGGCGGTCAGAACACCAGTGTGAGGTGTTGTGTGTGACTGAGTTGGTGCGTTGCCGGTTCATCTTGGCGATCATGGCCTTCTCCTCTTTCTGTGGGGGACAGGGGGGGTCACACAGGGGAATCAATCTATATGCTGGGGGTTATGACTGTGAACTATACCCTCAGGCAAAAGACACCCCCATTGTGATATTTCTCCTTCATCAGGTATGGGGTAGGAGGAACATATTTCTGGGAGGAGCTCAATCAGAACCGACATTGGGCAACTGGGAGCAGTAACCCCCAAAAAGTAATTTTATATTACAATGAACTCATGAGGTTTGTCAGGGTTCCGTTTAGTACCGACGGTAAACCAGACCAAAGCCGGGGATGGTGCCTAGTAAGTTTCCCACCCGCTTCTGGCTGCAGCCCACGATGAGGTAGGTCTCGATGTTGTGTTTCTTCAGGTAGACATTCCTCTCGCCGCCACGGCCCGGCTCTACGTCGTAGTCGCCGTTTAGGTAGTTCAGTGTAGCTTTGGTGATGTGGATGCGCCTGTGCACATGCAGGGGAGGTCACGCCAGTTAGCGATCCAGGCTGTGAAGTCCCACATTTCCCCCATTTTCTGGTCCCCCATCGCTTAAGTATCTCTGACAAAAAGTGTATGTTAACAGAATGGTGACATCTCTCATTTGACATCTCTGCTCATTTCCGTTTCCATGGGTGTGGTCAATTTAATAAGGAGTGGAGATATCATTGGAATGGGTGTGGTTATGCTAATAATTTGAGGGCGAGACATTCTCATGGACGTGGTCATGTTAATAAGGAGGGGAACAGCATCACCATGGGTGTGGTCATGTTAATAAGGAGGGGAACAGCATCACCATGGGTGTGGTCATGTTAATAAGGAGGGGAACAGCTTCACCATGGGTGTGGTCATGTTAATAAGGAGTGGAACTGCATCACCATGGGTGTGGTCATGTTAATAAGGAGGGGAACAGCTTCACCATGGGTGTGGTCATGTTAATAAGGAGTGGAACTGCATCACCATGGGTGTGGTCATGTTAATAAGGAGTGGAACAGCTTCACCATGGGTGTGGTCATGTTAATAAGGAGTGGAACAGCTTCACCATGGGTGTGGTCATGTTAATAAGGAGTGGAAC